TGATGAACAGTGTCAGATGTTTCTTTTTAATATGTGGCTGTCGAATTGGAAGCCCATTTTAGAAATAGAGCACATAATTCTATTAGCACTTGGCTAATCTTTATTCTCAATTCTACTGTAACTAGTGCCTGTACTATTAAGTACTTTATGTATTTCGGTTTTATATTTGTGTTTGTCCTGTGTCTACGTATGTCTTGCTGCAAACCAAATCACCCTAAGGGGACAAATAAAAAGTTTAACTAATTAACTAACTAACTAACTAACTAACTAACTAACTAACTATATTTATGTAAAACAGTATTTACATGGTACTTTAGAGAACACCGTGGAACATGTCCAATAAGTCAGGGCATTACAATTGTCCCACAACTGTCCCACTTGTGATGGGACGTTTAGTATTTATTATATATGTCTACTGTGATTATTTTGAATGGGTCATTGAGGGAGTCAGTTGTGAACTCAGTAACGGCTCTGAATGAGTCACTGCGAGAGTCTGATTCCAAACGCTAATTCACCAGCGACTTTGAACCTATTTTTGTAAATCTTTATGACGAACCAGTTCATAAGAGTCATTTGTTATTGAATCGACCATCATAATTCACACTGTTTTCATTTCCCTGTGATATGACATGAAACAGCATACGGATGGATACAGTTTTCCCAAATTATTGTAGCACATTTTGATATCATACTGCATTTGCAACCATTCTGGAGCCCTGCATGGTATGTTTTGGTGCTAACAAATGCATGAATGGATAGAATATAAGCATCTGCAAAATAAATAGTATAAACACACAATCTTTTTCTAGAACTGGGATTTACCTTAAAACCCGGATTAAACAATGCTATTTGTGTACTATTAAAGTTAAGTACCGTTTATGATTGCTCTTTCTGTAAGGTGTAGAAACAGGTGAACAGATCTGAGAGGAAGCTTATGAGTTGTAGACCTTTCCGTCTAAATCTCCAACATTCATTGCTCCTTTTATTCACAATTAATGGGACGTTTCCTCTCTGCCCCATCTCTAAATGTTTTCATAGCTATTTTACAGCACACAATAAAGATGAAATGTGAGGGATATTATAGACTTGGCACCTCCATTTCTCTCTCTCTCTCTCTCTCTCTCTCTCTGGCTCTCTCAACATAACAAGACTGCAGTTCTTTCTTTCAAGTCAAATGGCGTGTAGACAAGCTAACAAAGAGATGCAAAACGTTTATGACATCATTCAAGAAACACACACACATACACACACTTGCAGCTTTCCAGAAGCATTCCTCTCTTACAAGTAATTGAAACTATAAAAACATTCACTACACAAATAACAGTTGTCATATCGTTTAAAACATACACCTGTCTCATTTTCCCTGACTCTTTTTAACGCTTAAAAATGTATGTATGTATAAATGTCTGTGTGTATTGATGGATGGATGGATGGATGGATGGATGGATGGATGGATGGATGGATGGATGGATGGATGGATGGATGGATGGATGGATGGATGGATGGATGGATGGATGGATGGATGGATGGATGGATGGATGGATGGATGGATGGATGGATGGATGGATGGATGGATGGATGGATAGATGGATAGATAGATGGATAGATAGATAGATAGATAGATAGATAGATAGATAGATAGATAGATAGATAGATAGATAGATAGATAGATAGATAGATAGATAGATAGATAGATCGATAGATAGATAGATAGATAGATAGATAGATAGATAGATAGATAGATAGTTCTAAAGCTGATGCTACTTCTAAAAGTCTTCCGTGGTATAGCCAGTTCGGCAAGATCTTGTGAAGTCAAAAACCTAAATTCTGTTATGACACAAAGGCATTCCTACATACAGACAGCAGACATAACACCATGCAACCGTGTGCCTAAAATCAACACTGGTGTTCCTGACGGTGATCTCCCCCTTTTCACTTAATCTCTGTCTGCCGTTCAGAATCCGGCTTTCACTTCCCATATCATACAGTCTGCTGGACCTGCACACACACACACGTATACAGAGTAACCCCAGCACCCGTCCTCATGGTTGAATTGGCTGTTTTAAAGAGTAAATTGATCATAAAAGTCTGTCATGATCTGTCATCAGGCTGGTGAGTGGTGACATTGCTCCAGCCTGGCTAAACTTGTTATGTTGGTCTGTTGTATACAATAGCTGTTTTTTTTTTTAACAGCTAAGCAAACGGCAAATAAAGCTGGTTTAAATGTTTTTGTCTAACTCCAAATAATCAAAGTACCTTAACAATGGACTATATAAGCCATATTCCAAGGCATAGAATAGCTATACGTAATACAAAATTAAGGTGAGACACAGCAGGTATTTTGAGATTTTGGGCTTTGTAATCAATTTGTAATCAATAACATGTCGTCTTTCAGACTTGTGCTGAAAAAAAGTCCAACATACACATTTAGGTCTTTATTTTACTACACTTGGTCTGTTTGCGTGTGTAGATTTCGCCTAAATTCCTCAAAAGATGGCATTCTAAATCATCCCGCTGCACCATGATTGCGATCTGCACCCTGTCATCGTGCACACCATTAGAAAGCTCTCTCTCTCTCCTCTTCAATGCTGTCTGTCAGATCATAACATGGTCATTTCCTGTTCAGCAACCAATCATGAAAGTAAAATGGGCCATTTAACTCGAAATGCGCAATCCCATAAAAATCTTTAAAGGCCGTTTTCTCAAAATTAGTTTTTCTCACACTTCCAGTGACGATTTTCCACTTTTGTAGCACCTACATACACCAAACTTTATAGCCGTATTCCTAACTATATTGTGAAGGTTTGTTCAGAGGGATTTGTTGATATATCATTCTTGGCCTGATTTATATGACATTTTATGCCTAAAAATAGGGCATTTAATTTGATATAGCCTGATTAGCATATTTAAACATAAAATTACAGAAAACTTGCAATATATTTTTTTCTTCTATTTATGCGAGTAATCAACTGGTAAAGTTTCATGGTGATATCTGTAAGTTAAAATTTTTATCCTATTCACCTGCAGTGTCTCGCCTTAAGAAGTTTGTAACTGTAATTGGCCTTAATTTGGCTAAATAACTGCCATATTTCATCTACTTCCTTGTGTTTTCAATTACTATCGTCAGTCCAAGGAATGACATAACAACTGAGGAAACTCCAAGAACTCCAACAGATTTGCCAATTCAGCCAGAAAAAAAAAGGAATTTTTATCAAATTGACACTTTATAAACAGACTATGGTTGGAATATTGTGTTACACGTGTGCCTGAACCAACTGCATCAGCATATGTGTAATCTATTACCAATTTGTTTATTACAGGCCAATGACAGTAACGTTTTGTTTCTTGCATGGTGGGTTAGCATGTGCATCTAGAGAACAAATGTGAAGCTGAAGGGAGAAAGAGGCGATCGATCATCCACGCTGTCGCTCTGCTGCGTTTGTTTTCTGTACAGAGGGATTTGAGGCGACTTTGCAAACGTAAACTCTTCAAGCCCTGCTGAGTCCACATAATGGATTGAAAAAAAATAAACCTACACTCATGGACCACAGTCAAATACAGCAGGATGACTTTCTGAGCAACAATATGAGCGCAAATGCTTCCTTTTAGTAAAGGACATTTTTACATTCACATTTATGAATTTGGCAGACGCTTTTATCCAAAGCGACTTACATTGCATTTCAAGGTACACATTTACATTCTTATCGGTTCTTGCTTTCCTGTCGCGGTGTATAAATGAGTGAGTGAATGTGAGGCAAATGTAAAGCGCTTTTGTGGCCATTGGGTCTGTGAAAGCGCTATATAAATGCAGTCAATTTACCATTTTCACCCTGGGAATCAAACCCATGATCTTGACATTGCAAGCACCAATGCTCTACTCTTTGGGCTACAGGAAAGCAGGACTAAATCATTTTTTAGATGCTTATATAAATATGGTTCATGGTCATAGACAGTGAGAAACTGTCAATGAATAAAACATCTGAAATTTTGAGGACATAAAGTGTGAGACAAGACACTGAAGAATGTGTCAATAAAATTCTTACACCACATTGCCAAAATCACACAATGTCCCTCTTGGTTATTTTCTCTTAAAAATGCATTCTTTTATTTAAAGGAACAGGTCCACCTTAAAGGGACACTCCACTTTTTTTTTGGAAACAGGCTCATTTTACAACTCCCCCAGAGTTAAACAGTTGAGTTTTACCGTTTTCGAATGTATTCAGCTGATTTTCTGATATTTAGAAGAATTTCAGTAATCAGACAGTTTCTGGTCTCATTGACTTCTATAGTATATTTTTTTTCCTACTATGGAAGTCAATGAGACCAGAAACTGTCTGGTTACTGATATTCTTCTAAATATCAGAAAATCGGCTGAATGGATACGAAAATGGTGAAACTCAAATGTATAACTCTGGGGGAGTTGTAAAATGAGTAGGGCTGTGCAAAAGTTAATTGCGATTAATCGCATCCAAAATAAAAGTCTGTGTTTACATAGTATATTTGTGTGTGCTGTATATAATTATTTTGTATATATAAATACACACACATGCATGTATATGTTTAAGAAAATGTGTTATTCCTATATAAAATATTTATATTTATATAATATAGATTATGTATTTATATATATATATATATATATATACAGAATTTAAGCGCAAATAATTCTTAAATATATACATGCATGCATAGGTATTTATATATACAAAATAATTATATACAGCACACACAAATATATTATGTAAAACAGACTTTTATTTTGGATGCGATTAATCGCAATTAACTTTTGCACGGCCCTAAAAATGAGCCTATTTCCAAAAAAAGTGGAGTATCCTTTAATAAGTCAGTATCATATTCCCAATACAAGCATTCTCAATGCATTAAGAATAAAGCACCAGAAAGTAACAGATTTTTTTATGTTTCTTGGACATTACACTGTGCCATAGTAAACCCATCCCAATTTTTTTGCTTTCCTTTCAACCATACGTTATTTGCCTGACCTGCAGAAGTTGTGGGGTCCAAGGCCTCCGTCACCATTGGGGTATTTGAGGGTGTTGTATGGATGTTGGAAAGTCTCGTTCCAGAAAAGGCACGGCCTCCCCCCTTGCAGGCTGGTCTGGTTCTGTCTGCCTCTATAGTCCTCTCCATTTGCTGTATAACATTCTAAGAGTCAAAAGACGAAATATTCTTTTAATCCAAATGTTCTCCAGAAAACACATTTTAATCAGATTGTGGGTAGCTGGTACAGATAGAAATATTCATACATTATTTGATGGAGATCCCATGTGAAATTAATTATTATCACATTTTAGAAACAAAACATTTAGCATTTTGGCAGACATTGTGAGGGATATGGGGAGTCACACTCATTTGTTATTGCATCTGTTAGCATGCAAGTCTGCTGTCCTGGGATGAGTCATGATTTCGCTGCAGGGAAGGGGTGATGTGAATAATTATAACGGAAGAAATGATTCAATTATGATTCAGGTTTATAATTGTATTTGTGTTGTATGACCTGTCTGCAAACTAATTCCATAAGCGTGCAACAGTCAGGTGAAATTCTGTTATTTACCCTTCTGTGATTTTCTAGCAAAGGCTAAACTGTAAAAAGGGACAAAAAAAATAAATTTCTGGAACGCAACCATATGGAACCCCCCATTTCATCAACCAAAAACAACAGAGACGCAGGACTTTTGCACAGTCAAAATAAACAAGAGGGTAACTATTCCATCAAAGGGTATCTGTTGGTATTTCTAAGCTCTAGACTTCAAAGCATCTAATTTGGACTGAGTTCTGGTTTGAATGAGGAAGCTGGTATGTGGTGAGAGCGTGGATTTAAACCCTGGCTTTCATATGTGAGCTACCTCATAAGCTGATAACATCTCCATTCTGATCTGCTCTCTAAGATCTACAAAAGCCAAGAAAATGAAAACGTGCAAGGATAGCATCCCATGAATGAATATTAATAATAATAAGTAACAAAGCAATTTCCATTGCTATGTGGCAATAATTGTTTGGGTGGTTGTTTAAGATCCCAAATTCTAGTCCCTAGATATTCTAGGGCTATTTTTCCCCACTCATTTAATACGTATATGTAAGAATATTCATAAGTGAGTAAAGTATTGGAGACATTTCCAGCAAATTGGAGCACAGAGAAGATTCTGGAATAATTAGCCTTTGATTTTCCAAGCATGAATGTCCCATTGATGTGGGTCGAGCCCTTCCTTCAGGGGATGAGTAGGGCATCATGCACCCAATCAAAAAACCACACAACCTCCCTGAACAAATATCCTGAATGGCATTAATTAAATGCAATTTACATACTTCAGGCAGGACTGCCTAAAATGAGCGCTCACTAATAATCATTTTGATTTGTGTGAGGCTGGATTGCCTCAAAAAAGGGCAAATGCTTTCCGGTGGCTGGCTCTGAAAAAAGCACATTTGAGCAAACGGACATAGGGTGCAGCTACATATGTGGTAAGACATTTGCGCTGTTGCTCGCACAACTGAAACAGTTGTATCCAATCAAAAAATACAGCCGTAAAAGCCGCAGAACACTTGGATAGTGTCCAGGCAGCGCTGTGGAAGTCGTGCTCGCTGGAATCAAGAAGAAAGAATATCAGGCCTCATTAAAATGTGAAATCACAGGCTTTTCTTTGTGGGTGTCATGTAGATTTTAATTAAAGTCATGCAGGTGGCAAGACACAGACACAACCTGGGACATGAATATTGTTGAGTTTTGGGAATTACGATGACCATGTTTTAAAAATCATTATTTATTCAATTTATTCATGTTGTTGCAAACATGCATGACCTTTTCTTTTGCAGACAGACAGACAGACAGACAGACAGACAGACAGACAGACAGACAGACAGACAGACAGATAGATAGATAGATAGATAGATAGATAGATAGATAGATAGATAGATAGATAGATAGATAGATAGATAGATAGATAGATAGATTGAACATTAGACAGACAGACAGACAGACAGACAGATAGATAGATAGATAGGTAGAACGTTAGACAGACAGATAGATTGAACGTTAGACAGACAGACAGACAGACAGACAGACAGACAGACAGATAGATAGATAGATAGATAGATAGATAGATAGATAGATAGATAGATAGATAGATAGATAGATAGATAGATAGATAGATAGATAAATAGATAGATAGATAGATTGAACATTAGACAGACAGACAGACAGACAGACAGATAGATAGATAGATAGATAGATAGATAGATAGATAGATAGATAGATAGATAGATAGATAGATAGATAGATAGATAGATAGATAGATAGATAGACAGACAGATAGATGATAGACAGACAGACAGACAGACAGATAGATAGATAGATAGATCGATAGATAGATAGATAGATAGATAGATAGATAGATAGATAGATAGACAGACAGACAGACAGACAGACAGACAGACAGAACGTTACACAGACAGATAGATGATAGACAGACAGACAGACAGACAGACAGACAGATAGATAGATAGATAGATAGATAGATAGATAGATAGATAGATAGATAGATAGATAGATAGATAGATAGATAGATAGATAGATAGATAGATAGATAGATAGATAGGTAGAACGTTAGACAGACAGATAGATTGAACGTTAGACAGACAGACAGACAGATAGACAGACAGACAGACAGACAGACAGATAGATATATATATAGATAGATAGACAGACAGATAGATTGAACGTTAGACAGACAGACAGACAGACAGACAGACAGATAGATAGATAGATAGATAGACAGACAGATAGATGATAGACAGACAGATAGATTGATAGATAGATAGATAGATAGATAGATAGATAGATAGATAGATAGATAGATAGATAGATAGATAGATAGATAGATAGATAGATAGATAGATAGGTAGAACGTTAGACAGACAGATAGATTGAACGTTAGACAGACAGACAGACAGATAGACAGACAGACAGACAGACAGATAGATATATATATAGATAGATAGACAGACAGATAGATTGAACGTTAGACAGACAGACAGACAGACAGACAGATAGATAGATAGATAGATAGATAGATAGACAGACAGACAGATAGATGATAGACAGACAGATAGATTGATAGATAGATAGATAGATAGATAGATAGATAGATAGATAGATAGATAGATAGATAGATAGATAGATAGATAGATAGATAGATGGTGCTGCTAATAATAAAAAAATGGTGCAAAATGGTGCTGCTAATAATAAAGGTTGCAGTTAAAGTTTATGGAAACATTCATCCAAAAAGACTCGCAGTGACAGACTTAAGCAGCAGATTAACATTCATAAAGCATGCCAATAAATAATGCGTGACTGGACCATTCCATTAGTGGTCGATCGATGGGTTCTGCTGTCGCAGAGAGCTCAGAGAGTTTACGGCACATTGGAGAGTCTGATCTCCCAGAGCAATCATGATTTCCTCTTTGTAATCTTGGACCAAGTTACTGCCAGCCACACCATGCATTACTAATGGTATGAACGTCCTTCATGCCCACTCTCCGCACAGCACAGGACTCATTATTCCTATTTATACTACGTAATGCTCACCTGCAAAAGGCAAAAGTTACCCGAAGAGTCACCCCTTTGATGGGTAATGACCCTCTACTACTGCATATCGCATTGGTGTTGGGTTACGAGCCGGCAGACATCTTGCTTCTGTGGCTAACCTCGGCAAAAAAGGTTTCCAGACAGGATGGCTGAAATAAGAAGGGCCCGGGGAAGGATAGCAATTAGCAGCAACTTAACTTGATGTGGTCGGCAGGCATCATTAAGTTGCGGTAGTGTAGGGAAGCAGCGAGTTGACTGGGAAGAACCAGATAAGAAGGTTCATCATCGAGATGAATGGGTAGTCAAAACCCAGTGTGGGTTGCCGAGCGGCATTCAAAGAAACACCATTTCTAGAAAAAAATGAGACTATTTGCACTTGTAGTTTCCTGATGATGAGCTTTCACACTTCTTGTAGTTGTAATAATATAACCTCCAACCGTTTCTCACTCTGTCACCAAGTTTCCCCCTGTATCGCCATGTGATGCCTTTGTTGTGGTCGGATCACAGGCCTTGATGGGAAACAGAGTCTTGGCCACATGAAAGAAAGGAATGGGAAAAAACCTATAAAATGCAAGTTCATCAACAGAAAAAGAAGCTCGGTTCAGGAGGAAGGGAGGAACCGCCCCACAGAGCCAGAAACAAGAGGGTCTTAAAAAGAACGGACAGAAGTGGATTATTTGCAAATACTTACTTGCCCTGTTATTATATGTTCAAGGATTCAATGCTAATTGTTTCCATATTGACTTTGCAGATGCGCTCATCTTTGTAAAGGACAGAGTGAGACTTTGTGGCACTGTGATCAGAAAAATAAACAAAGGCAGAAATAAATTACACTAAATTTGATGTGTTTGTGTCAACCAAAGCCATTGGGATTCAACAGGGACACAATTGTCAATTAAATTCAGGCGTAATGAAGAGGAATAATTTAATAAAATGTCACTTCTCTGTCATTACAGCAGTCATGTCACACGGTATCTCAGTCGTCATTATTGTCAGACTGTGGTCAAGACGTGTTAAAAACAGACACACCTCAGGAGTTTTACTAGCCTGGCATGCCAGACCCACATCAAGATGTTAGGTCTGAGAACTCATCATTGACGGGGCTCAATCAGAGGGGTGGGATAAACGGTTGTCTTTCAAATTCTCTCTGCACGCAATTGACCCTTCGCTAAGCCCCGCCCTCGCTAGTTACTGTTGCTACGCCTGTCAAGCTTTCGCGGCTGGCCCATCTATTATAGTGTGGATGCACCCGGTATCAGACATTTCAATGAGATAGTTAGTAATTTTTGGCGAACAAGTGAAATATCTGAGAGAGAAAGACAAAATGGACTACAGTATGCATTTGGGATATATTCACGACATTATATGCAACCAATTAGAGAATAATTTCTTAAAAATTGAAGTTAAAGCCTAGTCCCAGCGCAAGCAACAGCGCCTCATACGCTGACCGTTCAAATGGGAAACACAAATTGAGGAACAGCTGTGTTCATGCACAGCAGGGTATGTGAAAATAATCGTAATAATTATAAATCAAACAGCTTATCAATAAATCTTGTGGAATAAC